TTTCACACAGCACATCTCTCTTCATAGGCGATATGAAAAACATAAAACACAGCACATTGACACAAAAAAGCTACAAGTTAAGTACCTAAACATTATTAGATTTGTCTAGTTTATAAATTTAATTAATTAAATAAAAAAACCTCATCACAGATGTTGAAGTCCCAAGAAAAATTAATCCAGTTGTCTAAATGTATTTCATTCTATTCACAAATCTTGGCTATTCTGATACCCTAATAAAATCAAATTCTGATCATACAAGAATTCCATCCCTTGTAAAATTTATTTTTCAGGGAAGAAAGGATAAGCTACATGATCCCCCACTCCTTGAAACCAATTCTAAATGTGGTGTAAAACCTTCAATGATCTCTGGTAAGCTAAGGGGTATTTGTTTTTCAGCTTAGGGTTAGGGGGTTGGTGCCATGTGACACACAATGGAAATATACTTTCTGAAAAGCTTGAAGTTATTGATGTCAAATCAGAAAGTGGATACGTCTTCAGCAGTTCAGTACCAGCTATGTAAATAAAAGTTCATATCAGATACACTGATTCCACACAATATACCAGAATAAAAAAAAACGAAAATCCTTGAAAATTCACATAAAAGACAAAGTAAATATTAGAAATTAAAAACAAATAGTAAATTTCAAAAACTATAGTGACCTCTGCTTTAAGCATTTAATTTAATTTGAATGAATAAGGTGGGGGTTTCTAACCAACCTCCCAATCAAATACAACTCTAAAACCTTCATCTAAAAAATGAACAAAAAAATAACATCAATTTTAAAATGCAATAAACATCCATTCCTGAGCTTATAAATAAATTGCACCAATTTTATAAAATAAAGCGATAGCATTGACATAAAAAAATCCATTAAAATTCTTTTTTAAAGATAAAAATCTATGAAGTCACTCATCTCAAAAATTGGAAATATTGGGATATGATATAATAAAGCATTTTGGTCACAAAATTGCATTGGCAGAAAAAAAAAAGAATGATTGTACAAATCATCCTTACCCTAAGTACTATCACACTGGTGATTGCAACATGCCAGTAGAAAACAAACAATGATTGAGACATTATTTACTATATCTTCTATACTTTCCATTAATGTAGTGCTGTATAAAATCAGAGGCTTAGATGGGTGGTACATGCGATAAATGTGAATTTCGCACGTCGGTGCAAATCACGAACATTTGTGGAAGTGAAATTTTCTCTGGCGTTCTACAATTTGGTTTCTTAGTCGCTTTCGTACAATTTTGTCTTCCTGAATGCTGTACATTCATGAAATGGCAAAAAAAATTCTAGCAGTGAAAATTAAAATGATTTTATACAGTGCTGTATAAAATTTACATACACTAAATAAATGTGATATTTAATATTCTGGTTTATAATTAAGCTTTTGTTTAGGACAGTGTGTGTAAATGCTCCATAACTTTGCTACAGAATACAGTGTGCCACTGAATAAAAAAAAAATAACCACAAACTGCAAATTACAAGTTTAAATGCAGACTAAAAAAGCATAAGTGCAACTACAGATTCAATTATTATTTATGAAAACAGAAAGCAGACTGCAAGAAATTCTGAGCTAGATATATCTAACCATAATAACGACACGTACTGTTACGGTGTAGCATAAAAATACCAACAGTTACAATGAATGATCTAGAAAGCTGTCGGTTAAAATAAGTTTTTAATAACAGTCTATAAATGAACACATCAATATAAAATCAAATCAAGTAAAATGATATAATAGATGTTGTTTATTATTAAAACATTATTGTAAAGTCAGAAAGGTTGAGGTAATACTAGCAATACACAAAACCTGATTATTGAACCTTGTTGAAATGAACAAAAAATACACAGAATGGCGACTATAACTCCACTCACAGCAGATTACGATCTTCCCTGCGTTTTCTCAATTCTTTTAAGCTAAACAAGGTGTATTTTGTATAGTAGAAAACTGTGATTGCTAGTCAAAGAACAGTTGCTGTATTTTAGATATTGAAAATTTTGCTTTTATACAATCGAATAAATTACTAGTATTTTACATTTATTTCAAATTTGTATACATTCATCAGCTGATAAGGGTCATAGGTCAAATAATTTCCAATATACAAGTTTTGCTTATTGTTATATGTAGTAGGAAGAATATAGATTCAGAAAGGAAGCACACAAATGTACTTTGAAATATTGAATGAATTTGCGATTTATTTACCCAGCTACATGTAGCACTTTTTTTTTAGATTTTTTTTTTTTTAAAGCAAAAACCTATACCAGCTTGAATTATTCTGAAAACCAAATAATGATACACATCAACTGTTCAACTGTAACAAGCGAGGAATAAATCTTCACCAGATTGCATAAATACATGCGAACGTGCGTGATTTCAAAATCAGTTACCATGTGTTTGGTTTTTCAGACATAATTCAGTGCATGTACAAGAAATGTAAACAACTGTAAATAAATTAAGATCTACTGTTAAGTCACCACCAGAAATGAGACACATTTACAGAGAAGCATACAATACCATGTACTATTTCAGTGACTTTTCCAATGCTAATGTGTGGTGTATTGAAAAAAGTTTTTCACAAGAATATTCAAAATGCATGGCTGCAAATTCAGAGGCATCATTGGACGGCCATCTCATTGTATTGGGTATATTTTTAATATTTCAGTGTCAATTTTGAGTAACTTGGTCAATCATAAAAGTTACGGTGGTCACCAGTTATACTGATCAAAACACATTGCATGCTTTGTTACTTGGACACAGTAGTAAAATAGTTGTCCTATAAATTCAAAAGTGAAGGACCTAATGGTCATACAGACCCTAACTCAGATTCTGGTGTTCATCTTAGACTAATCTTAATGGAAAAAACTTTTTATCAAATATTGATTTTGTAATATAGCCCATTTTTGATAGTCAAACAAAGAATCCCACATGCAATATGGTGACTTGATGGCACACTTAGATGCTGGAAACTCAATCACAGTGAAGTTTGCTATTGACAAGACATACATATTGCTAATACTGTAAGCTGCTGTATTTATCACAGTACAGATCAAAGGCTTAAAAAAAAATGTTGCGGGCAATACAACTACAAGCATTGTTTTCATTTTCAGCATTTGCACTTATATCAATTACAAACTCAAAGCTTAAATTTACATCGCTGTAAAAATGGATAGGTACAGTATGACTATGAAAATGATAAAAATACATGGCCTGATGAAAAATAAAAACAGAGATGAGAAACAGAATTAAAAATTAAAGATACACTAGCTGTAACGACCTAGTTTTTTGTATTGCAAACGTGTTCTACATGAATAGCAATTATTTCCGTTCTATTAGCTGAAACTAGTTCAATTATTTGGTACCGGGCCCTTCTGTATGCTTTATAAGCTCGCTAAAAGCACTGAATCAACATCGTGAAGTGTTTATTGTACGTACCCTAAGCTCCGTTTGTTAAACCATCATACGTCATTACTGATTGTTTGCGCGTGCGCAATTCCGAGTACTTCGTTGTGTCGTCACCGGAAGCGCTGTCCCAGCACAAACCTGTGTCATATGACGCCTTACCGTTGTGTCGTCACCGGAAGCGCTGTCCCAGCACAAACCTGTGTCATATGACGCCTTACCGTTGTGTCGTCACCGGAAGCGCTGTCCCAGCACAAACCTGTGTCATATGACGCCTTACCGTTGTGTCGTCACCGGAAGCGCTGTCCCAGCACAAACCTGTGTCATATGACGCCTTACCGTTGTGTCGTCACCGGAAGCGCTGTCCCAGCACAAACCTGTGTCATATGACGCCTTACTAAACGATTTTGGCTAAAAATC